CCCACAGTTTCTAGTGTTTCTGGCGGTCTAAAAGCGTCTAAAATTTCTAGATTATCCAGAGAAATGGAATAAAAATAATTGATAATTTTTTAAAAATCTGGAAATTTTCGAAAGCACTGGACGAATTTACTAATATTATCAAATATTCCAGAGAAAAATGGAACTCTTTCGAGAATTACCAGTTTCAGAATTTTATTGAATATTCAGAGTTTTCAATTTTTAATATTTTCAAAATTTCCAGGCAAGCTACTCTTATCCAACGTATAGAGAATTCAGTTTTCGGGATATAGAATTTTCGAAGTTTCCAAAATTCAAAGAGATTTCATGATGAATGATTTTCGAATTCAAAAGTTTCTAGTGCTCCAGTGGTTCTAGATTTTCTGGACTTCTGAATTCCACGGGGTCTCTAGAATTTCCATATGTTCCATAGAAATAGAGTAAAAATAATTAATAAATTTTAAAAAATGTAGAAACTTCTGAAAAAACTATGGGATTTTATAGAGTTTCAGAATTCTCTGCGTTTTAGGATTTCTAGATTTCTAGATTTTTCGAAATTTCAGAGCTTAAAGAGTTTCCAACATCTTCAGAATTTCCAGAAAATCTTGACTTTCTAAGGTCATAGAGTTCTAAGGTTTTCAGAGTTGACAATTCAAAATTACCAGTTTCTGGATTCTACAGAATATCGAGGGCCTTAGCGTTTCAAAACTATCAGAGTTTTCAATTTACAATATTTCAAAAATTTCCAGACATTCAATGCGTTTTCGACACAGTTTTTTTCCAAAATAAAGAATTTTCAAAGTTTAGAAAATTTCTAGAGACCGAAATCTCCAGACTCTCTACAGCTTCCGTATTTCCCAAATTTTGAAATTAGACCTAATTTCCAGACCCTCTAGATTTTTCAGAGTGATTAGTGTTTCAATTTTCTAAATTTCCAAGCAACCTTCTCCTTACAAAGTTTTCTGTTTTCGAAGTTTCCAAAGTTTCTGCACTTTGAACTTCTAGATTTTCCAACTTTTCTAACGTTCCAGAGTTTCCACAATTTGACGAATGTCCAGGATTTTCGGATTTCCCAAAGTTTCTAGAGATTCTAGCGGTTCCAGCGTTTGTAGACCTATGAATTTTCCGACCTCTTTCGAATTTCCTAGTGTTCTAGAAAAATGGAGTAAGAATGATCGAAAAATTTTTAAAAATCTAGAAACTTGTGGAGTTTTCAAAATTACCAGAGTTCTCAGCTTTCAATATTTGCAAGTTTACAGAATATCCGCAGTCTTCGGTATTTGTGAAATTTTGAGAACTACTAGAATTATCAACAATATTTTCAAAATTTGTAGACATAGGATTATATCCGGACCTTATAGAGTTTTCTTGTTTATAAAGTTTCTCGTGCTTCTGGCGGTTTCAGAGTTTCTAGACTTTTGAAGTTCAAAGTATCACTAGAATTCCTTGTTACAGAATTTCTAGGGGTTACAGAATTTTTAGAAATTTTAGAGTAGAGAATTTTCAACGTCTTTACAATTTCCAGGAAGTGTCTAAAGTTCTATAGTTCTAAAATTCTCAAAGTTGCTTTCTAAGATAAGTCTTTTTTTGGGAAAACAGAGGGTTGTTTGGCGGGGCTAGAACTTGCTTACAAAGTCTTATTTTGGCAAATGACACACCCTGTGAAAAAATAGGGGGCGGGTGGGTGGGGCTAATACTTGGTAAGATAAGACTGATTTTGCCAAATTTAATTTGTTACCATGGAAATTTGCAATTTAATACCTTTAAATTTCACAAATTTTTACAAGATTAATAGGGGCAAAATCAGTTTTTTCTTAACACTCGCCCCCGATTTTTCAAAAGATATCTCATTTGCCAAAATCAGTCTTATCTTACCAAGTACTAGCAACACCCATCCGCCCCCTATTTTTTTCAGAGGACATTTCATTTGCCAAAATAAGACTTATGTTAGCAAGTTCTAGCCCCGCCCACCCGCCCTACTTAGCTACTTGCTAAGATAAGTCTTATTTTGGCAAATCACTTATCCCCTCAGAAAAGAGGGGTGGGCGGGCGGGGCTAGGAGTTGCTCAGATAAGACTGGCTTTGGCAAATGACATATCTTCCAAGAAAATAGAGGGCGGGTGGGCGGGGCTAGTTCTTGCTAAGATAAGACTGTTTTTGCCCTTATTATTAATTTCCAACGTCTTCAAATTTTTTTCTAGAAAATGTTGAATGTCTAAAGTTGTAGAATTCTAAAATTATCAAAGCTGACAAAGTTTACAGAATATCCAGCTCCCACAATTTGCAATATTTCCAAAATTTCCAGACTCGTTTTTGATCTTATAGAGCTTTCAAAGTTTAAATTTCGGAATTATGACTTTCCAGACGCATCAGATTTTCAAACTTTCAACGTAACCAGAGTTTTCAATTTCTAATATTTTCAAAATTTCCAAGCAAGCAACTCTTTCGCAACCTTATAGAGATCTCAATTTCCAGAATATACAAAGTCTTATTTTGGCAAATGACATATCCTCTGAAAAAATAGGGGGCGGGTGGGTGGGGCTAGTACTTGATAAGATAAGACTGATTTTGCCAAATTTAACTCGTTACTATGGAAATTTGCAATTTAACATCTTTAAATTTCACAATTTTTTTCAAGATTAATAGGGGCAAAATCAGTTTTATATTAACAAATACTAGGTATACCCACCCGCCCCCTGTTTTCCCAGAGGATATGTCATTGGCCAAAATCAGTCTTATATTACCAAATACTAGCCCCGCCCACCCGCCCCCTATGGTCTCAGAGAATATGTCATTTGCCAAAATAAGACTTATGTTAGCAAATACTGCACCCGCCCACTCGCCTTTTATTTTCACAGAGGGCAGAACTTGCTAGTACTTAAGATAAATTTTATTTTGGCAAATCACTTAACCTCTGAGAAAATAGGGGCGGGTGGGCGGGGCTAGGACTTGGTCAGATAAGAGTGTTTTTACCATGGAAATTTGCAATTTAACACCCTTAAATTTCACAAATTTTTACAATATTAATAGGGACAAAATCAGATTTTTCTTAACACTCGCCCCCTATTTTTCAAAAGATATCTCATTTGCCAAAATCAGTCTTATCTTACCAAGTGCTAGCCCCGCCCACCCACCCCCTATTTTTTCAGAGGATATGTCATTTGCCAAAATCAATCTATTCTTACCAAGTGCTAGCCCCGCCCACCCGCCCCCTGTTTTCTCAGAGGATATGTAATTTGCCAAAATCAATCTTATCTTACTAAGTCCTAGCCCCCCCCCACCCACCCTGTCTCTTTTTCAGTTATTCCATCTGAATGAAATTAATGATCTTACACTATATGAAAATAAAACTAGTTGTTAGAAACAGAAGAGGGGGGTGGGCGGGGCTAGTACTTGCTAAGATAAGATTGATTTTGGCAAATGATTTACCTTCCAAGAAAATAGAGGGCGGGTGGGCGGGGCTAGTACTTGCTAAGATAAGACTGATTTTAGCAAATGATTTACCTTCCAAGAAAATAGAGGGCGGGTGGGTGGGGCTAGTACTTGCTAAGATAATACTGATTTTGGCAAATGACATATCCTCTGAGAGTCATAGAGTTTGCAAAATACAGAAGTTTTCAAAATTAAAAGAGTTTCACAGAATTTCTGGAGGTTCTATATTTCGAAATTTCGAAGTTATGCATACTTTCCAGACTCTCTAGATTTTCAAACTTCCCAAATTTTTTCAAGTTTTCAAAATTGACGCATTGAAAAATTACCAGTTTCCGATATAATATTCAGAGATTCCAGGGTTTGTAGACTTTTCAAAATAATTTTTGAAAATTTTGAATTTTTATTATTTTCAAAGTTTCTACACAAGCTACTCAATTTAAGAGAGTTTTCTATTTCCAGAATACAGAATTTTGAAAGTTTCCGCACTCTCGAGCTTCCAAGAATAAGTCACAATAAACTCATCATATTTTGCACATTTCAGGTAGATTTAGGAATTTAACTCGTTAAAATGGAAATTTGCAATTTAACACCTTTAAATTTCACAAAAGTTTTTACAAGATTAATAGGCGCAAAATCAGTTTTTTCTTAACAAATACTAGGCCCGCCCACCCGCCCCCTGTTTTCTCAGAGGATATGTCATTTGCCAAAATAAGACTTATGTTAGCAAGATCTAGCCCGGCCCACCCGCCCTACTTAGCTCCTTGCTAACATAAGTCTGATTTTGGCAGATGACATATCCTCTGAAAAACGGGGGGTGGGTGGGTGGGGCTAGCACTTGATAAGATAAGAGTGATTTTCGCAAATGCCCTATCCTATGAGAAAATAGGGGGCGGGTGGGCGGGGCTAGCGTTTGCTAAGATAAGACTGACTTTGCCCCGATTAAACTTAACAGGTGGACGTTTTAAGTTTTTTCACAGATCAAATACCGGAAATTGTCTCACACTTTTAAAAAAAAAAGCATTAGTAGCCCATAGATGGGTGGTGATAACTTTGGCAACCTAGAAGATTAATAATTATTAATAAGATTTAATACAATTCTCGAATTTAATTATCCGGTCATCACTGAAAGTAGGTAACTTTGAACACATTAACATTTATAAGGACTTAAAAAATAAAACGCATTTACAGCACATTCTAAGTAAGTAGTTGGAAATTAACGGCCGACTACTTACTTAATATAAAGCTTTTACCAAAACCGTTAATTATTACGAATTATTAGACATATTCCACTCATTTTCTACCAGAAAGAATTTCCGGAAATGCCACCGAAAATAAAATTATACACACAGTAAAAAGTACGTGAATTATTTTGGTCTCTCTGCAACCCCTCCCTACACATTTACTAGCCCTTTTTAATAACTAAACAATCCCAGAACGTAAAACTGACCCTCCCATCTATTACCCGTAATTAATTTCCAGCCACTGCATGACTCTTGAAATACTGGAGAAAATAGATTGGAGTATTTTTGTTTCCGAAAATAACCCAACAGTTCATACACCGCCGAGTCGAAGACTGTACGCTCAAGTGACTCTATAAAATTATCCAAATGCAAATAGTGCAACCGCCCTAAACAAAATGATAAAGAAAGTGAAAATCGTTTCAGGTTTCACCGTATTGATTTCGTGTTGCTTGTTTTGCCAGCCGGAAACTATTAAAATTGGTGAGTGAAACACACAATGCCAACCATTACTCAATTAGTACATAAAACACCCATTACTAAACCGTGCAATAACAACAAAATATTATAATATTCGTCCATAAATAACCACCTATTTATTTCGATAGCGTAATTAAACAAACACCTCCAGACATTTATTTATTCAAGGGGCTATTTTCGACGCCGACAACCACATCAACGTGAAGGCATTTCATCTGGCTATCCACGAAATCAATCAAAAATTCATCATCGATCGACTTTTGGAAGGACTGGTTGAAAAGGTACCCCCGAACGACCCTTTCAAGGCCCTTCTGGCTACTTGCAACCTCATCAGCGAGGGGGTGGTTGCCATCCTGGGACCATCCACCCACCAAAACGCCCACATGGTCCAAACGGTGTGCGACGACAAAGACATCCCGCTTTTGGACGTGCGATGGGTGGATTATCGCCCAAGTCCCATGATCAACTTCTACCCTCACCCAAACGTGCTAACCCAAGTCTACGTGGACATCCTCAACGCGTGGAACTACGAAGACTTCGTCATTCTCTACGAAAACGACGACAGTCTGAAAAGGGTTGGGGAGTTGTTGAAGTTTTACGACAGCAAAGGGCACCAGATGCTCGTCCGCCAACTGGATAAGTACCACAATGGAAACTACAGGTGAGAGTTTGGCCGAGTTCCAACGATTTTCCGCAGTTTATAAATTCTTCTTGGAAGTGTTTATTATTACGAAAATGAAACGTTCGTCGAAATGAACTAAATTCCTGCACAAATTTCAAATGAAGTTGGTAAAAATTTGCGTTAGAAATTTATGTGCACTGGATGATGATGAATGTTCGCGGTTGTAAAAGTTATTTTACGAGGAGTAAATATAGAAATTACTGGAGTTTGCGTCCATATGGCTTTTTATGACGGGGTCTTGATTACAGATTCTATTTTTGAATTTGCTTTATAACGCGATTGCAGATAAACATTCACATGAGAAAAAACTGTATTCATTGTTTAGACCAACTTTAAAAGAAGTGTGGCGGTACGGAGCCACGCACTTCGTCCTAGACTGTTCCACCGACATTCTCGAGGAAGTTCTTCTACAAGCCCAACAAGTGGGTTTGATGACAAACCAACAGTTCTACGTCATCACGAACTTTGACTTCCACACACTCAATTTAACACCTTTTCAGTACGCCGAAACGAATATAACAGGAGTATTGAAAAACAACCACAAGGAGCTAGTTTTACGCCAATGTTGTTGTAGATGCGTTTCATCGACCCCAACACTGACGAAATTAGAAAATTGGCTGTGGAGCTTTACGGAAAAGAAACTTTCGAGTTGTTGACGGCTTGGAAACTTCAGCTTGAAACGACGTTGATTGTCGACGCTTTGATGATGTTTGGGGAGGCTTTGAGTGGGCTGCCGAAAAATTTTTCCACGCCTGTGGTGGATTGCACGACCGACGAAACCTGGATGTATGGAACGACTTTGACTAATTTGATCAAAGGGATGAAGTATCCAGGTTTTACGGGACTCATCCAGTTTGACACCAAAGGGTTTAGATCAGCTTTTGCTCTCGAAATCTATGAATTAAAAGAAGGAGGAACCACGAGAGTAGCAAATTGGAGCTACTCTGAAGGTTTGAATCTGAGCAGGTTTTACCCGCCGGAACCACCAACAACTGAGGGAAGCCTGGTTAATAAAACCTTCATGGTGATCACCTGTTTGGTAATCTTGTACGTCTAGTTGGGAAAAATTCTAATTGTTTGACCAGACAGAGCCTTATGGAATGAGAAAAGAGTCATCCGTGCCGCTGTATGGTAACGACAGGTATGAAGGTTTCGGTATTGATCTTATAGCGGAACTGTCGAAACGGTTAGGCTTCAACTATACTTTCATAATTCGGGAGGATAAAAAAAATGGTGACTACGACGAAACGAGTGGGGAATGGACTGGGATGATCGGGGACGTTATCTCCAAGGTAACCATTTCGTTACAACGAGACAATCTTAAAAATGTTTTTTAGAAAGCCGATCTAGCAATTGCCGATTTGACTATAACTTCAGAACGAGAATCAGCTGTGGATTTTACCACCACGTTCATGAACCTCGGGATTAGTATTTTGTACCAGAAACCTAAACGGGCTGCACCTAGTTTTTTCTCTTTCGCTGACCCTTTCGCCCTTGACGTTTGGAAACTCCTAGCGGCTGCTTTTTTCGGACTGTCTATCGCTTTGTTCATTTTGGGCCGTTTTTCCCCGAGCGAGTGGCAAAACCCTTACCCTTGTGTCGACGAACCCGAATACCTGGTGAACCAACTCAGCCTGAGAAACTGCTTCTGGTTCATGGCTGGAAGCTTGATGCAACAAGGATCAGAAATTGCCCCAATGTATCTAAACACCAACCCATTTTCTTCAATCGCACGCAAATGTTTTGAGCCTATGGGCGGATCATTTTTGCCGGTCGTCACCGAAGGAGGCGGTCCAAATTGTCCAAGGGCAGAATTAAAAAATAATGACTGAGTCAATTTATTTTATTGAAGAAATCAAGAATTGCAAAACTGAATACTTTGAAATCTTTTCAATTAGTTAGAAAAAAAAAACGTGTCCTGCTCTAATAACATCGAGAATATGCTCAAAATCACACTAATATTAGGTCTAATTGTGCCGACCATAGTTATAAAATTCACATTAAAGTAAGTCACGGACATTTTTTGAAGTGTACTACATTTCAAAAAGCAAAAAAAATGTTCAGTTTAGAAACTTCTTAATTTTGGTTTAAAGTTTATCAATCATATTTGACGCTTTATTTTATCCCTTCCATTTGTTATATATTATCCGAACGTTCTTCGACCGATAGGATAATTTATTACTTCCGACATCTTTTCGGTGACAAATTTAATCTTTGCATACTTCAGCGTAGTTAGTGAACTCGTTGTGACCACTGAAATATACAAAGAGTAAATTTTGAAATGGAACGAAAGTCGAAGAATACTTTCAAAGCCACGATCAAAATGTATTTGCTTATCTTCGCCAAAAAATGCATGACGTCATCGTAAAATTTGATATAATGAGTCTATACCTTTGATTTATCATTGCAGTAATATTTTTTAGATTTACTTATACAGCCTGTCTCAAAAAAAGGTCACTTCGATTTTCGATTTTTCGTTTTTTCGACCAACAGTTTCATCGAATTAGATTTTTCAGTTTCCATTTTTCTATCAACTTTTCGATTTTATTACTTTCTAATTTTCTGATTTTTCAAATTTGCGGTATTTTGATTTTACGATGTTTCGATTTTCTAATTTGCCATTCTTTCAATTTTTGATTTTTCGTCTTTCCATTTTTAGATTTTTTGATTTTTCTGTTCGTCAGTTTTTAGACTTTGCAATTTTTTTGCATTTTTCGATTATCTTTTACTTTACGATTTTTTTTATTTTTGAATTCTCGATTTTACGTTTTTAATTCTTCGATTTCCGATTTTTCAATTTTCCGGTTTTTTAATTATGCTATTCTCGATTTTTCGATTTTCCATTAATCATAAAATTTTTCGATTTTTCGGTTGTTTTATTTTTCGACCTTCGATTTTTCAACTTTCGATTACTCGATTTTCCATTTTCTGATTTTACGATTTTTCGATTTTCGTTTTTCCGCTATTGTGGTTTTTCGATTTTTCTGTTTGTTTCAGTTTTTATGGTTCTGCAATTTGCAGCTTTTAGATTTCAAATTTGTTAGTTTCCCATTTTCCACTTTTCGATTTTTTGATTTTTTTTCGATCGTCGTTTTTTCGATTTTCATTTTTTCGATTTTTTGATTTTTCAATTTTTAGGCTTTGCAATTTTTTTACTTTTCGCTTTTTCGAGTATTTGTTTCATCGAATTTTCGATTTTTCGAGTTTTCGATTTTCGATTTTTCGGTTTTTCCATTTTCCGATTTTCGATTTTTCGATTTTCCATCTTTAGATATTTTTCGATTTTTTTTTATTTTTCGATTGTTCTGTTCGTCAGTTTTGAGACTTTGCAATTTTTACTTTTCCACTTTTCTATTATTTTGGTTTCGGATTATTCGATTTTTGAATTTTCGTTTTCTTTTTCATTTTTCGATTTCCGATTTTTTTATTTTTCGATTTTTAGGTTTTTTAATTTGTTGATTCTCGATATTCCGATTTTAGATTTTTCGATTTTCCAATCTTCGATTTTTCAATTTCCAGTTTTCGATTTTCCACTTTTTGATTTTACGATTTTTCGACTTTTCTGTTCGTCAGTTTTTAGGCTTTGCAATTTGTTTACTTTTCGATTTTTCGATTATTTTTTTCCAGTTTTTTGATTTTTGAATTGTCGACTTTTAGAGTTTTCAATATTATGAATTTTCTAATTTTCGGTTTTCCTATTTTTCGTTTTTTTGATTTTTTGATGTTTCGATTTTTTAATTTGCCATTCTTTCAATTTTCGATTTTTCGTCTTTCCATTTTTAGATTTTTTGAGTTTTCTGTTCGTCAATTTTTAGACTTTGCAATTTTTTTGCATTTTTCGATTATATTTTACTTTCCGATTTTTTTGATTTTTGAATTCTCGATTTTACGTTTTTACTTCTTCGATTTCCGACTTTTCAATTTTCCGGTTTTTTAATTATGCTATTCTCGATTTTTCGATTTTCCATTAATCATAAAATTTTTCGATTTTTCGGTTGTTTTATTTTTCGACCTTCGATTTTTCAACTTTCGATTATTCGATTTTCCATTTTCTGATTTTACGATTTTTCGATTTGCGATTTTTCGATTTTCGTTTTTCCGCTTTTTGTGGTTTTTCGATTTTTTTGTATGTTTCGTTTTTTATGGTTCTGCAGTTTGCCGCTTTTAGATTTCAATTTTGTTACTTTCCCATTTTCCACTTTTCGATTTTGTGATTTTTTTTCGATCGTCGTTTGTTCGATTTTCATTTTTTCGATTTTTTTATTTTTCAATTTTTAGGCCTTGCAATTTTTTACTTTTCGCTTTTTCGAGTATTTGTTTCATCGAATTTTCGAGTTTTCGATTTTCGATTTTTCGGTTTTTCCATTTTCCGATTTTCGATTTTTCGATTTTCCATGTTTAGATATTTTTCGATTTTTTTTTATTTTTCGATTGTTCTGTTCGTCAGTTTTGAGACTTTGCAATTTTTACTTTTCCACTTTTCTATTATTTTACTTTCGGATTATTCGATTTTTGAATTTTCGTTTTTTTTTCATTTTTCGATTTCCGATTGTTTTATTTTTCGACCTTCGATTTTTCAACTTTCGATTATTCGATTTTCCATTTTCTGAATTTACGATTTTTCGATTTGCGATTTTTCGATTTTCGTTTTTCCGCTTTTGTGGTTTTTCGATTTTTCTGTTTGTTTCAGTTTTATGGTTCTGCAATTTGCAGCTTTTAGATTTCAATTTTGTTACTTTCCCATTTTCCACTTTTCGATTTTGTGATTTTTTTTCGATCGTCGTTTTTTCGATTTTCATTTTTTCGATTTTTTGATTTTTCAATTTTTAGGCCTTGCAATTTTTTTACTTTTCGCTTTTTCGAGTATTTGTTTCATCGAATTTTCGAGTTTTCGATTTTCGATTTTTCGGTTTTTCCATTTTCCGATTTTCCATGTTTAGATATTTTTCGATTTTTTTTTATTTTTCGATTGTTCTGTTCGTCAGTTTTGAGACTTTGCAATTTTTACTTTTCCACTTTTCTATTATTTTACTTTCGGATTATTCGATTTTTGAATTTTCGTTTTTTTTTCATTTTTCGATTTCCGATTTTTTAATTTTTCGATTTTTCGGTTTTTTAATTTGTCGATTCTCGATATTCCGATTTTCGATTTTTCGATTTTCCAATCTTCGATGTTTCAATTTCCAGTTTTCGATTTTCCACTTTTTGATTTTACGATTTTTCGATTTTTCTGTTCGTCAGTTGTTAGGCTTTGCAATTTGTTTACTTTTCGATTTTTCGATTATTTTTTTCCAGTTTTTTGATTTTTGAATTGTCGACTTTTTAAGTCTTCAATATTATGAATTTTCGAATTTTCGGTTTTCCTATTTTTCGATTTTTGATTTTTCCATTTTTCGGTTTTTTAATTTTTCAATTCTCGGTTTTTCAATCTTGCAAATTTTCGATTTTTCAGATTTGTGAATTTCCAGTTTTTCGATCGACCTACGTATTAGATTAATTGAATTTTCGATTTTCGGTTTTTCCATTTTTAGATTTTTAATTTTCCAGTTTTGTATTTTCAGATTTTCTGTTTTTCGCATATCTGATTTATCAAATTTTCGATTTTTCGGCTTTTCGATTTTTCGATATTTGATTTTCGAATTTTCGATTGTTCAGTTTTCCATTTTCCAGCTTTAGACAATTTTTTTACTTTTCGATTTTCCAAATTTTCGAGATTCAATTTTTAGATTTTTGATTTTTCGATTTTCTTTTATGTCTTTGAATTTTTCGGTTTTGATTTTTCGAATTTTTGATTTTTAATTTTTCCATTCTTCGGTTTTTAGACTTCAATTTTCTTTCTTTCTTTTAAATTTTTCGATATTCTATTTTCCGCTTTTCAGAATTTTCGATTTTCAGTTTTCAGACTTTCGATGATCAGAATTTTGGATTTTTCAGTTTTATGATTTTTCGATTTTTAGAAAATTTGAGTAGTCGAATTTTCGATTTTTCAATTCATCGATTTTTCCATGTTCAATTTTTCAATTTAAATTTTGCGATTTTCAATTTGTCCATTGTCGATTTTTAGAATTTTCGGTTTTTCAATTTTTCCATTCTCAACTCTTAGAGTTCAATTTTGTTACTTTCCGATTTTTTGGTTTTCGATTTTCCAATTTTCAGAATTTCCAAGTTTCTTTATTCAGATTTTCGATTTTCCACTTTTTCGATTTTAGATTTTTCGAATTTTTGTTTTTCCAATTTTTTGCTTTTTCGATTTTTCTGTTCGTTTCGGTTTTTAGGCTTTGCAATTTTTTTTACTTTATATATTTTGATTATTTTAATTTCCGATTTTTTAAATTTTTGTTTTTGATTTTTTTAATTTTCAATATTACAAATTTTTGACTTTTCGATTTTTTGGTTTTCCCGTTTTTCAATTCTCGATTTTTCGATTTTTGAGGTTTGTGAATTTCCACTTTTCGATCGACCTAGGTATTTGGTTTCATTGAATTTTCGATTTTTTGATTAGCCATTTTTAGATTTTCGATTTTTACAATTTGTATTTTTCGATTTTGTGTTTTTTGCATTAGTGAATTTCAGTTTTTCCGATTTTTGATTTTGCGTATATTTGATTAATCAAATATTGTTGCTTACAAAAACTTCAAAACATCTACAATATTTCAAATTATTCAGTTTTGCTATTCTTGATTTCTTCAATAAAATAAATTGAATCCGTCATTAACTTTTTTGAGACACCCTGTATACCCAAATCTAAAAAATATTAATGCAGTGATAAATCACAAGTATAAAATTCATCATATTTTATGCATTTAAGATAGGATTTATTCTGCAAAATTTTGAGGTGACGTCATAAATTTTTTAGAGGGGATAAGCAAATATATTTTAATTAAAAATGTATCATGTTTATCATGATTTTAAAACATCTGCAAGATTTCAAAGTATTCGATTTTGCAAATTCAAAATTAAATTGCAAAATATTGTTTTATAATTTTGATTTTTTTCCCAAAAATCTGGACGTTTCGGATAAAAACTCAACACGGAGTCATAAACTACATGTGTAGGACTATGTTACTGTATACAATTTAAAACCCATTTACTATGCATAAATTTGAAGTGACGTCATCACATTATTGGTGGGGATGATTAGACAAATTTAATCATTTTGCGACATTTATGAAAAAAATATCAGTTAACAAAAATGGCACGTTTTTATTATTATGCCAGTTACATGTCACTTTTGGACCGCCTTCTTCGGTGAGGACAGGCAAAAACGATCCGCCCATAGGCTCAAAACATTTGCGTACGTCTAACTTTCAGTGCAATGTCTACCAGAATGTTGGCTGGAATTTGGTGGTTCTTCACTCTAATCATGGTATCGTCATACACGGCCAACTTAGCTGCGTTCCTCACAACTGAGAACCCAGACAAACCTTTCAACGACGTCTTCGAACTAGTGCACGTCGCCGACAAAAAAGGGATCAAATTTGGTGCCAAAATCAACGGTTCGACGGAAAAATTTTTCCGTGACTCGAAACACATCGACGAGTATCAAAGAATCTACCACTATATGAAAGAGCACGCTGAGGAGGTCATGGTCACGGATAACAATTTGGGGGCGGCTAAAGCCGAACGCGACAACTATGCTTTCTTCATGGAAACGACATCCATAGAGTATGAAACTCAAAGACGCTGCGGCTTGACGTCAGTTGGAGATAACCTAGACGAGAAAGGGTACGCAATTGCCATGAGAAAAAGTAAGTCGGAAAGGAGTTGGTGCTAATTGTTGAAAAGATTCGTCCTATAGGTGGGCCTTGAGTACCACCATTCTGAAACTGCAGGAAGATGGGGTCATGGCCAAGATTAAGAGAAAGTGGTGGGAGGAACGACGAGGGGGTGGACAATGTCCTGTGAGTAGTTTAGTGTGACAAAGGGGTTATTTTCTTAAATTTTCTAGGACGAAGACGAGAAATCCATTGAAGGTACTTCGTTAAACTTGAAGAACGTTGGCGGGGTGTTTTGGGTCACAATAATAGGGACGTTGTTGTCGCTGGTCGTGGTCTTCGCAGAACTATGTCTTCATATTTTCAAACGATCGATCATCACCAAGCAACCCTTCAAACTGCTACTACTCGACGAGTTGAGCTTCTACTTCACCACGTCGGCGATGATCAAACCCGTTCTTTACAACAATTCGGAACAAGAATCCTACGAGTTTAATTAAACCAAACACTTAACTAATTAGTTCTATTTTAAACAATTAATAGTTGTATTTCGTCAAAGCATTTATTTAAATATTTTTGTTCTAATTTTAGCTAACGTTCCATACGCTGTGTAAGGATGCCAAATAATAAGGATAGTTTAAAATAGACGACCGTTGCATCGGAGGAAGCGCGGTGTCTCCTAACATAATAAATGTGCATTTAAACTTTTTTCAGACATTCATAAACGAAAATAAAAATGTGGTGCGTCAATGTGCTTTTGGTGTTCTTGACATTTTTCGTGCTCGGACAAGACCCAACGGAAATCGTGTTCGGTAAGTCTAAATTGACTAAATTCTCTCAGATTTTATTGAAATTGATGACTTAGGTGGCGTGTTCGACGAGAATTTGGAAAGTGGTGACCATTCGGACTTGACGGACCAAGAGGCGTTCAAATTTGCCGCTTACTTAGCAAGCAAAGAAAACGGTTTGCGGTTTAAAGCGATCACTGAAACTAACTTTAATCATGTGAGTGGACCCTTCAAGGCAAAGTTAGCCGCTTGTTCGTTAATTGAACACCAAGCAGTTGTTATTTTTGGACCGAAACAGGCAGAGGATGTTAATATCGTGCAGTCAATTTGCGACTACAAAGACACCGCTCATGTTGTCAACAAATGGGTTTATGGTCCCGCGGAACACAGGACCATCATCAATTTTTACCCACACTCGTCGTACTTAACTCAAGCCTATTTTGCCATTTTGAAGATGTCGGAGTGGAAGAGGTTCACGCTGTTTTACGACGATAACGAAAGTCTGTTAAGAATGGGAGACTTGTTAAATCTGGCTAAAGACGACGGGATTGTGGTGGTACTGAAACAACTTGACGAAGTCGGAGACGGGATTTACAGGTACTTGTAGAAACGATTTAAGTATTACAACTACAACTACTAGTTTTTAGAACGTCGCTTAAAGAAGCGGTACGCTCCGGTGAGACGAACTACGTGATAGATTGCAATATTGTCGTTCTAGAAGAGGTATTGCGGCATGCCCAACAAGTCGGTTTGCTTACGAGCCACTACAACTACTTTATCACCAATCTTGACCTACAAACTATAAATCTTGAGCCGTTTCAATACAGTGAAGCTAACATCACAGGGGTGTGTTCCAACCACCTGCACCAATCACTCTAACCCTTTTGTTCCAGATACGAATCGTCGATCTTTCCAACGAACTCACCTATTGGAAGAGTCAAGGTATAATCAGAGGCGATTTTAACCCACACTTCGACTTGTCTAAAATGAAAACGGAGACAGCGCTTCTGATTGACTCGGTCATAGTTTTAGCCAAAGTCATTAGTACGAAAATTTCCTTCCAAAACCTGACGACAGACGACGATAGTTGCGATTCACTAAAGTCGTCACGACATGGTTACACCATTTCCAACCACGTCAAAACGGTTAGTACACATCCAAATTGTCTCCCGCTTATGACAACTTTATAGAGCAAACATTCCGAGATGACTGGTCTAATCGAGTTTGATGGTAACGGTTTTCGAAGCAACTTTGATTTGGATGTGATTACGCTCAAAGACAACGGGATTAATAAAATCGGGACTTGGAATTCCTCGAAAGGTTTGATAACTGTGGGTCACGGAGCTAAACATTCAATTAAAGCCAGTAACAGTCTTCGGAACAGGACTTTCAAAGTGATCACGACTTTGGTACGAAAATTATGAGGTTGAGAAAAATTTTGACTAGGTTTTATAGACGGCTCCGTATACTATGTTACGAGAAACACCTACGCAGCTGTTTGGTAACAACAGGTTTGAAGGGTTTGCAATAGACTTGATAGACGAACTAGGCAAAATGGAAGGTTTCAATTACACGTTTCTAATCAGAGAAGATATGAAGAATGGTGCTAAGGACCCAGTGACTGGGCAGTGGTCTGGAATGATCGGTGACGTGATGGATGGGACAGCAGATTTGGCTATTACTGACCTGACCATCACCGCCGACCGAGAAGAAGCAGTCGATTTCACTTCCCCTTTTATGGATTTGGGTAATACTATCGTCTACCGTGATATCGTCTAACTGTCTTCTAGGCATCCAGATTCTGGCACAGAAACCTAAAAACGCCCCTCCTAGTTTCTTCTCTTTCGCTGACCCTTTTGCCTTGGACACCTGGATGATGTTAGCCCTTGCTTACGTGATCGTATCGTTGTCGTTCTTCATCATGGGTCGACTTTGTCAAGAAGAATGGACCAATCCATACCCTTGTATCGAACAACCGGAATTCCTCGTCAACCAGTTCAGTCTACAAAACTCTGCTTGGTTTGCCGTGGGTGCGCTCATGCAACAAGGAACAGAAATAGCCCCAATGTGAGTACCATTGTCAATCTTTCTAACCCAACTAGCGACTCGTAGAGCCGTTTCGACCCGAATGGTCACCGGAATGTGGTGGTTTTTCGTCCTGATCATGGTGTCGTCGTACACCGCAAACCTAGCGGCCTTCTTAGCCACCGAGAATCCAATCCACTTGTTCACGGATGTTTACACCTTGGTGGACAACATGGAAAAAAACAACATGCGATTGGGCGCGAAGGCCAACGGAGCAACTGAAAGTTTCTTCAAAGGAAAAAACGACTCAGTTTTTAAAAAAATCGCCAAGTACATGAAAACCCATCCCGAAGACATGGTAAAGGAGAACAAAGACGGCGTAAAACTGGCCGAGGATTTCAATAATTATGCTTTCTTCATGGAATCGACTTCTATATCGTACGAAACCCAGAGGCACTGCAGCTTGCAAGGGTATGGCAAGCTTTTAGACGACAAAGGCTATGGAATCGCGATGAGGAAAAGTAAGGGTTGGCAATTCGTAAACTTTTGTTAAAAGAAGAGTTTTAGATTCCACGTACCGCAAAACTCTAAGTATGGCGATTCTTAAACTTCAAACCTCTGGGGTGTTAGACGATTTGAAACGAAAGTGGTGGGAGGAGAAAAGAGGTGGGGGGCAATGTAGCGTAAGTTAATTAATATGGGTGTGCTTAATAACGACTGAGTTTTATACAGGCTGTTCGTGACAATGATAAAACACCCCCTTTAGCTGTTCAGAATGTCCAAGGTGTCTTTTTTGTAACTATAGGTGGAACTATTTTGGCTGTGTTTCTAGTAATAGCTGAATTATTGATTTCCACGTATAAAATAAGTAAAAAGACGAAAATACCGTTCAAGGAAGCATCAAGTATTGAAATGCGGTCCTTCTTTGACTTTAATAGCGACGTGAAGCCCGCCCTTGGAGACAAATCTAAATGTGGAAGCAAATCTTCGGAAGGAACTGGTACTTCTAATAATAATCTCCTGGCACCTGCTCCGCAGTACGGATTTATCCCGACTATTACTAAGGAGAAACTCTAATACCACAATAGTGTCACAATAATTCATCACTGTCACATTTCGAATTTATTTAATAATATATTGTGCAACAATAACAACCATTTCAACTCTGACCTACTTTTATCGAAATTGTGATAAATCCTCGTAAAAAATAGTGTGAAGTGAAGCTAGGAGGATCTTTCACAATTACATTGTTAACATAATTTGGCGCGCCTCTAAAGAACTAGGTAAAGACGATTATGCTATTATACATCCACGAATTCGGCGTTGCAAAAAAAGTTCAACACTGAATTCAAACCGAAATTAAGTACGCGACTAATTATGGTGATATCAAAGTATTTGAATGAATACGTATCATTAAACTAAATAATCGTGAAAGCGTTTGAAATTTTATGCACTTTGTGTGAATCTGTTATACGGTGTTTGCCAATGTAAACAGTAAAGAGGATTATCAGATGTTTGAGTTAATGCTAGAGCTAGTGGCAATTATACACACTCGATAATTTCAATAAAATCTGACTGCTTGAATTGTTTATTCAATTTAGACACTGCAGCTTTCGTTTATAACTCATCAAACGCTTATTTTGTCGCTATGTCGCGACTTACTTACCTTAAAGAAATTCTCTCTGGTTTTGTAATCTTTAAATCCTTTGATCCAGATCTGCATCAACCCCTTTCATCAGGTGCATTCATAGAAAGAAATATTGCAAAGTAAACGTCAGCTTAAAGAGCGCTGATTGACAGATAACCGCAGTTGGATGCTTTCCAAGATGGAAATGTAAGGAGTTTCTTTTAATAGGTAATAACAAACACAGTGAATAATTCTGGGATCGTAGACAGTAATAAATAAAACTGGCGTCTGCGTGATGTTAGTTTTTGTCGAAAGTTCGGCTCAGTTCTTTATTTTGTTGTACATTTGACAGTTTTTGTGGGGAGGTCAGGATTGAGCGTCATTAATAACTGAAAAGTTCTGAAATAATTAACCCACTTGTATGAGGCAACATCGTTAAGTCAGTCGCGTCGACTTTCTGCAAAAATATTTACGATTCCAATCCAACACTGTTGTTTTTTTACTTGATGAAAGAACAATGTGAGAAAATGTAGGCAACCAACTATACACCAACGCAACTCAGTCTGACAATGGTCATTTTTCTCTGTCTTTGTCGTAATATGCTCTACGTGTTTCGCCATTATTAAATCTTTATCTAAATACATTCCCGGGTATTTAGTGCTTGACTTGAGAAGGGCTGGTTTCTCTAGAAAATTCTAATCTTTTAAAAACTGACTAGGGCTAAAACGGCTAAAACCCCTTTCCGGAACCGCGTTCGCATTACTTCAAGTTGGTCGCCAAATTCTCGCCAGTTCTCCTATTTTCTCATTAGAACGGCAGAACAGGAAGAAGAAAACTTCAAATCACGTCGTTCAAAATCTGGGTGTTCCCTTTTTCCCTATTTTGTCCTGTTCATTCTTCTTCCTCTTTGGCCTTGGTTATCTTTATGATAAATTTGGAAATTGCATTCATTTCCTACTATGAGGTCCATTACCTTCCTGACATGAATTTCAACCCCAATTTCTGTTTGCATGTTCCTTGTCTCCTCCTCCCACCTACGACATCTAAAAATGTGTTCCGGCAGTTTTCCCGATTCTTTAATTTTTACTTCCCGAGCGTAAACAAAGAAAGTATTGTAATCGAGTCTGTCGGCCGACTCTCTACTTTTACGTTTTCTCGATCTTTCATGACCTCTAGAAGACGAAGAAATAGGTCTCCTATTTCCGTCTGTCTGTCCGTCTGTCCGTCTGTCCGTCTGTCCGTCCGTCCGTCTGTCTGCCGTCCCGGATTTTTATTAGACAGATAATCTCCGAAAGTACTGAACCGATTGTTGCGAAATTTTGTATTTATATTAGGAATATCGTGTAGATGGTAAAACGCTAACCAAAATTTGTCTAATCATCCCCACCACTAATGCGATGACGTCACTTCAAAATTGTACATAGTAAATGGGTTTTAAATTGTACAAAATTACATAGTCCTATACATGTAGTTTACGACTCCGAATTGAGTTTTTACCCGAAACGTCCAGATTTTTGGAAAAAAAATCAAAATTTTAAAACAACATTTTGCAATTTAATCTTGAATTTGCTAACCCAAATAGTTTGAAATGTTGCAGATGTTTTAAGGCTATAAAGAGCATCATAAATCTTTAGTCAAAATATATTTGGTTATCCCCTCCAAAAACTTGATGACGTCAGCTCAAAAGTTTGCCGAATAAATCCAATCTAAAATATAGAAAATATGATGAGTCTGTACTTGTGATCTATCACTCCATTCATATTTTTTGGATTTGCATATACAGGGTGACTCAAAAAAAAATTAATGAATGCGTAAATTTATTTTACTGATTTACTCAGGAACTACAAAACCGAATGCTTTGAAATCTACTGCGAAAAGAAAACATAATAATAGGCATCCAGTCGTCACGTTTCCGACAGCGAGAGAAGTACTGTCTAAACTCTTTAGACCAATTTTTTATTACCTGCTAAGATAAAAGTGATTTTGGCAAATCACATGCCTTCTAAAAAACGAGAGGGTGGGTGGGCGGGGCTAGTACCTGCTAAGGTAAGACTGATTTTGGCATTTTTTTTGTTAATTGTTTAAAAGAATTTTGGGACTATATCATTTGCCAGTATCAGTCTTATTTTAGCAGGTACTAGCCCCGCCCACCCACCCTCTCGTTTTTAAATGGTATGTGATTTGCCAAAATCACTTTTATCTCTGCAGGTACTAGCCCCGCCCACCCACCCTCTCCTTTCTTCAAGGGTATGTCATCTGCCAAAATCCCTTTTATCATAGCAATTACTAGCCCCACCCACTCACCCGCCCTCTCTTTTCTTAGAGGGTATGTCATTTGTTAAAATCAGTTTTATCTGAGCAAGTATTGATGACATACATTTTAAGAAAAGAGAGGGTGGGTGGGCAGGGCTAATACCTGTTAAGATAAAAGTGATTTTGGCAAATCACATACCTTCCAAAAAAAGAGAGGGTGGGTGGGCGGGGCTAATACATGGTAAGGTGGGACTGATATTGGCATTTTTTTTTGTTAATTATTTAAAAGAATTTTGAAAAAGTTGTCTAAAAATTGTGAAAAAATTCAGGAACGTGGATCTCGACATGCTGATTCCAAAAATATAGGGTGTTGATGGCACCGGACCGATATTATCGAAATATTAGGTGAGAAAATCGAATTTTTTGGAATTTTGAAAAATTGCGATGTTTCAATGGGCGATTCTGGAAAAACGGTTAGAGTTATCGAAGAAACAATGCCAGAACTGACTTCTGCGGTCCGAAATCTACAAGAAAATGCATTTAGTTAAGTTTCGAAAATGTCAAAATTTGGCCGAAATTTGAAGAAGGGGGGACCATTGGAAAAATTTCATTTTTGAAAAAGTTGTCTAAAAATTCTCAAAAAATTCAGGGAAATAGATCTCGCCGTGTTGATTCCAAAAATATAGGGTGTTAATTGCACCGGACCGATATTATCGAAATATTTGGTGAGAAAATCGAATTTTTTGGAATTTTGAAAAATTGCGATGTTTCAATGGGCGATTCCGGAAAAACGGTGAGAGTTATCAAAGAAACAATGCCCGAACTGACCTCTGCGGTCCGAAATCTACAAGAAAATGCATTTAGTTAAGTTTCGAAAAACTCAAAATTTGGCCGAAATTTGAAGAAAGGGGGATCATTGGAAAAATTTCATTTGTGAAAAAGTTGTCTTAAAATTCTCAAAAAATTCAGGGAAATAGATCTCGCCGTGCTGATTCCAAAAATATAAAGTGTTAATAGCGCCGGACCTATATTATCGAAATATTAGGTGAAAAACTCGAATTTTTTGAAATTTTGAAAAATTGCGATGTTTCAATGGGCGATTCTGGAAAAACGGTTAGAGTTATCGAAGAAACAATGCCCGAACTGACTTCTGCGGTCCGAAATCTACAAGAAAATGCATTTAGTTAAGTTTCGAAAATGTGAAATTTTGGCCGAAATTTGAAGAAGGGGGGACCATTGGAAAAATTTCATTTTTGAAAAAGATGTCTAAAAATTCTCAAAAAATTCAGGGAAATAGATCTCGCCGTGCTGATTCCAAAAATATAGGGTGTTAATGACACCGGACCGATATTATCGAAATAGTAGGTGAGAAACTCGAATTTTTTGAAATTTTGAAAAATTGCGATGTCTCAATGGGCGATTTTGGAAAAACGGTTAGAGTTATCGAAGAAACAATGCCCGAACTGACTTCTGCGGTCCGAAGTCTACAAGAAAATGCATTTAGTTAAGTTTCGAAAATGTCAAAATTTGGCCGAAATTTGAAGAAGGGGGGACCATTGGAAAAAATTCATTTTTGAAAAAGTTGTCTAAAAATTGTGAAAAAATTCAGGAACGTGGATCTCGACATGCTGATTCCAAAAATATAGGGTGTTGATGGCACCGGACCGATATTATCGAAATATTAGGTGAGAAAATCGAATTTTTTGGAATTTTGAAAAATTGCGATGTTTCAATGGGCGATTCTGGAAAAACGGTTAGAGTTATCGAAGAAACAATGCCCGAACTGACTTCTGCGGTCCGAAATCTACAAGAAAATGCATTTAGTTAAGTTTCGAAAATGTCAAAATTTGGCCGAAATTTGAAGAAGGGGGGACCATTGGAAAATTTTCATTTTTGAAAAAGATGTCTAATAATTCTCAAAAAATTCAGGGAAATAGATCTCGCCGTGCTGATTCCAAAAATATAAGTTGTTAATAGCGCCGGACCTATATTATCGAAATATTAGGTGAAAAACTCGAATTTTTTGAAAATTTGAAAAATTGCGATGTTTCAATGGGCGATTCTGGAAAAACGGTTAGAGTTATCGAAGAAACAAGCCCGAACTGACTTCTGCGGTCCGAAATCTACAAGAAAATGCATTTAGTTAAGTTTCGAAAATGTGAAATTTTGGCCGAAATTTGAAGAAGGGGGGACCATTGGAAAAATTTCATTATTGAAAAAGTTGTCTAAAAATTCTCAAAAAATTCAGGGAAATAGATCTCGCCGTGCTAATTC